TCTTTCGGAATGTTCCGAGCGGCTTCGTTAGCGGGTTGTCCCTATAACACTTGCCACAACCACAGCATGTCCATGCCACGCTGCATGTCTGAGCCACACGATTGCCTAGAAACTAAAATGTCCATAAATTCATGATTTTCGGCCAGCTCATTCCTCCTCAGTCAAAGGAAGCGACGTTGTTCAGGTGTCGAGCTAGCTAGTCCCATCGGAAGGGAACAATGTCCTCCCGCTTCCCCCCTCCCTCCGTTCGCTTCCTTACCCCGATCGTGGCCCCGTTCTCCATCCTCCCTTCTCCTTGATTCCCCCGCAGTTCCTTGTACCAAGTCTCGGCTATCCAAGATGAGGACTCTGCCGAAAAGGCATTCACGAATACCGTAGTCATAGTATAAAACTTAGCATATATTTGTCAGCGGTGGTAATAAAATATATATATTTTAACGATAACGAAAACAGGGCTTTTAGAGGCCAGGGGTTTCAAATCGGAAAAAGAAAGAAAGGGAAAAAGTCTGAAGATCAGGGAAGTACCCTTCTCAGAGTTTTTGTATAGAGTTGAATAGGCCGGTTCGACATCGCTCTCAGGGACTTTTGACCACCATGTCTTCTGCCGTCCAGCAAGTCTACTCCCGGGGCATCTACCACGGCCTACCCACCTTTCCCCCCGACGTCAAAGACCTCACCGCCATCGTGACCGGCGCCAATGGTATCTCGGGGAACTACATGCTGCGGGTGCTCTCGCAGGCCCCGCAGCGCTGGAAGCGCATCATCTGCCTGAGCCGGCGGCCGCCGCTGCTCGCGGGCGGGCTGCCCCAGAACGCCGAACACATCGCGGTGGATTTTCTGAAGACGCCCGAGGAGATCGCGGCGGTGCTGCAGTCGCACGGCGTCGATTCGGTCGACCACGTCTTCTTCTTCTCGTACATCCAGCTGGAGCCCAAGGCGGGCCAGGGCCTGTGGAGCGACGCCGCCGAGATGGCCCGCGTCAACACGCAGCTCCTGCAGAACTTCCTCGGCGCCCTCGTCCGCGCGCACCTCAAGCCGCGGCGCGTCATGCTGCAGACGGGGGCGAAAAACTACGGCGTCCACCTCGGCCCGACCAAGCTTCCGCAGGAGGAGTCGGACCCGCGCGTCGAGCTGGAGCCAAACTTCTATTACCCCCAGGAAGACGCCCTGTTTGAGTACTGCCGTGAACAGGGCGTCGGGTGGAACATCCTCATGCCGGGACCAATTCTCGGGGCGGTCCCGGACGCGGCGATGAACGCGGCCTTTCCCCTCGCCGTCTACGCCACCGTCTGTCGCCACTTGCAGGTTCCGCTCGAGTTCCCTGCCGACGTGGTGGCGTGGCAGGCGGGCTGCAGCATGTCGAGCTCCATGATGAACGCGTACATGGAGGAGTGGGCGGTCCTGACCCCCGCGGCAGAGAACCAAAAGTTCAACGCCTGCGACGACAGCGCCTTCACCTGGGAGTCGGCCTGGCCCAGGATCGCGGGCTGGTACGGGATCAAATGGACAGGGCCCGACGACAACGCAGAGTACGTTGCGAGGGAATCGCGCTTCAACCCGCGAGGCTATGGTGGAAAAGGGGTATCACGGCGGAGATTCACCTTTGCTGATTGGGCCAAGAGGCAGGATGTGGCACAGGCGTGGAAGGAGATTGCAGAGCAGAATCAGCTGCCCCAGAAGGAATTGAGGGACGTCGACCGCGTGTTCGGGTTTCTGGACGGCACCGTCTGTCGTGCATCACCCCTGATATTCTCGTAAGTGATTCCCCCCGTCATCTCTCACACTGACAAGACCTGTATCACAGCGAAGACTGACATTCTTGGCTATAGGACAGACAAAGCGCGGAAACTGGGCTGGCATGGTTTCGTCGACTCTACAGAGTCGTTGTTGGAAGTGTTTGATGACCTGGCCAAGATAAAGATGATACCTCCTGTGCCCAAAATCGAGGTCAAATTCAATTGAGCAATGCTAGCCTGCACTATAGCGAGCAGCCTGTCAAAGCACCAGAAGACCCAGGGTCGAAGCCGTTATACAATCAAACCACAAAGACTTTTCCGTCTATGCACGCTATGCACGACCCGAAGCCCTTTCCGCCTCCATCTTCTCCTTCTTTCTTTTCTTGGCTGCAAGTTCGCGCCGTCGGGCCTCTTTTCTGAACCACTCGCTCTCGGGTCCCTGGTTCTTCTTGCTCCTTCGGTCTTGCTCACGGTACATGGGGGCCATAGTACCACCACCACTGACATCCGCCAGTAAGCCAGCTTGTCTGCGCACCTGCAACTTCTGCGCCCTGGCCTTGGCTGAAGAGCCTCCTCCACTCAGATGACTCCACATATTGTCATCGACTTTCTCAATGTCGGCTGCCGTTTCGTTTTGAAGCAACACCTTCGCCAGCAACTCATTTCTCTCTTCAGCCCTCGAGTACATGAGTTTGTCCATCTTGTCCATACCCGCCAAATGTGTGATGGTCTTGAAGGCATAACCTTGGTCAACCAGGAAAGCTTGTCTTTTGGCACTGTATGCCATCTCAGTTGTATCTTTGGAGACGAGAGAATAGAAGAATGCATTAAAGCCTTCGTCGTTGCGACGCTTTGCCCGTAAGATGCGCCCTAGCCGTTGTGCTTCTTGACGTCGTGACCCATAATGTGAAGAAATCTGAATTAGGCAAGTTGCTTCTGGCAAATCAAGCGACGTATCGCCAATTTTGGACAGAAAGATGGTACTGAATTCGGGCCGATCATCGTGCTGGAATCGGTTGAGAATTTCGAGGCGCTCGTAGTTGCTGGTTTCACCGTAAATGAAAGCCCTCTTCATGTTCTCTGCATAGTGCCTCAAAGCAAATAAATTGTCACTGAACACGATGATCTTGTCGCCGCGGTTCTCGTGGTAATTGATGAGATACTGGCAAACCCGGAACTTTTCGGGATTCATAATATAAAAGAGGGGCTGCTTCCTCGTGCTTGCATTCTGATATTCTTGGTAGAATTCCATAGACATCGGGCACCATACTTCGGCACATTGCACTTTGGCAATGTGGCCCTGCTCAGCAAGCTCCATCCAGTTGGCCTCATACAATTTCGGTCCAATGATGAAGTTGAGATCGGTGATTTTATCGTCCTCTCGGAGCAATGTGGCGGTAAGACCAAGTTTGCAGTGGGAGCGGATATTTTCGCCGACCTTTCTGAACATTTTGGCGGGGACGACATGGACCTCATCGAGTAGCATCAGACCCCATTCTTTGCCGTACACCCAGTCCATCATCTGCTGAGTGTCGTGGGCGCGCTTCCCACCTGCTGTGATCATGGAGTAGGTGGTGACCAGCACTCCTGCGTCTCCATGGAACCTCTTCTTTTCGGTAGCAGAAAATACGGCGATATCCTCTTCTCTGATATCAGACCATTTCCTGAATTCATTTGCCCATTGGTAGCTGGACATGGCGCTTGTGCAGAGAACGACGATGCTCTTCTTGATATGGCAGCCTGCGGTGATACCAACCAAAGTCTTCCCCGCCCCGCAAGGCAGGACAATGATGCCACTCTTGCCACGGCCGTTACCAAACATCTTGCTGAGCGCTTTCTCCTGGTACGGCCGGATTTGAGTGGAAGGTTTCAGATCAATCGGTAATGTCGCATTTTCGAAATCGTTGGCGAAGTCGTACTCTGAGATGGCAGGATAGCCAATGTCTAAGCACTGCTTCGCCACTGTGTCACGTTTGTTTGGCGCGATCTCGAAACTAGTGGCTTCCTTGTAGGTATCCTCTTCATCTTCTTCATCCCTCAGAGCAGCGATCATGGCCTCGTTCTCCTTGGCCGGATCATCTCTAGGCATCTCCACGTTTCCCTGTCCCGCCTGTGTCATGCCTTTAGCGTTACTGGTCCCTTGAATAACAGTCGCCTTCGTTTGGATTCTTCCAACTTGGACGTCCGTGCCGACTGCTTTGCAGGGGCCGATCACAGGATCCTTCAGGAGCATGTCGATGATTTCGCGCTCGTCGGACTCGACAAAGAACTTGTTGTTCCTTAAAACAAGCCGTACCTTTCCGTAGGTTTTCGTGTGGCGGTTAATGAAATCGATCACGGTCTCCGGGACGGGAGTTTTGGACAGCTTTTCTAGTGCACGTATTATATCTTCACCACGTAGACCTACCGATAAGGCGGCATAGAGACTATGCTCTGTGAATCTATATTCGTGGAGATAGGACGGTCTCGACTGGGGTTCTGCGATGGTGGTAAGCAGATCCGTCGCCTGTGCAGACAACGGAGAGAAGCTCTCTAGGGTGATCTTGGGGCCCTTTTTTGACCCAATAGACACATTTGGGTCTATCCACAGCGGCCTATTCTCATGATCAGGTTTCAGTGAGAGCCACGAGAAGTCTTTCTCTCCGAATATCGACGGCTTTTGTTTGTGCTTTGTACCCTGGAAGGAACTAAAGTCCAACCTCGCTCTGGCCTTTCGAATGTGCTCTTGCTCGCTATCGCTAGGGTCTTGGGAGCGTGGGTCGGATCCTTCAAAATATTCTTCGTCGCTATCGATGCTTACAGGCGTCGAGGGAGCAGGCGTGGAGCGTTTAGAGGATCGACCATTCGCAGCGTCCGCAAGGGCTTTTCGTTTGAGCGACATGGCTTCAGACAGCAGCCGCTGTGGCGGACTGCGTCAAGAGGAGCGGCAATCGATAGGTAGCGGACCACTCTCGGTCGCAGGAATATCCTGGAGCACACAGAGAGCAAGAGGTGGAAGAATAAAAAAGAAATCAAAATGGTGAATGGACAGGATAGAGGAGAGTTGAGGCGAACAACACTTATCGTTGCCTGATTTGAAGTACGAGGCTCTCGCTAAACGGTGGCGCAAATCGGTCATAGTGCAAATTTACGTCACCCTCATTGTGGATACATCTTCCAGGCTTGGGTCTCCGATTTCCGTCCGAGCTGTTTCTACAAGCGAGCTTTTTCGAATTCGTCTTCCTTTTTCTCTATTCTGGGTATGGAAAGGTAACTCGGGTCGAAATGAATACTGTGAGTAAATGCTTCTCGTCGCCGCGTCAACTCTGATCGCTGATCCTGTGCGCAGATAAGGTCGACTTGGTATGGGATCTGAGCCGTGTGCTGTAACACTCTGCGTCGACTTCCCCCGAGTCAATGCATTGAGCTGCGCACAAATTAGGGTAGCTTGCTAACCGCGCCACGACTCACAGGATCGGCTGGGGAGTGCTCTGCGTCGCCGGCGGAGGCGCCTACTACTTTGCAAAGAAATCCATCAATGCTGACCGAGCTGCCCGATTCGAGGCAGAACAGCAGAAAAAGGCTCGTTTTCAACGCCTAGAAGATTCGCACATTGCTTTCAACAAACAACCTCCTACCTCAAAGACCAAGACCAAACCAAAAGAGCAGGCTGGCCTTTCGAATGGGTCTCAAAACACCAAAGGACTGGATCATGCAGGTAGTCCGAGCAGCGAAATAAGTGAAGATGCGGCACCTGTGGGACACGCGCCGGTCGATGGAGAGCAAAGAGTACGAGAGAAGAGCAAATACGAAGCTGCGGAGCCGTACCGAAGCAAGAAAGGAGATAGATTGAGTTAAGGGTCTGCAAGAGAAAGAAAACGCGAAATTGTGTTCTGAATGCTTGATATATTCTGTACGGGCGAACCCCAAGGTATTCGTTTGGTGTGTACATTGATGATCAAGTTCCACTGTTCCCTGAAGCCAAAGTTCGCAAACGCTCTGTAACTCCTGTTGTTGTTCCATCCATGACCATGACCATCAAACGGGTATTATGCTGAAACGCTCGCCCAATCACTCCAACGCCTCGATGTGACCAAGTGAACATAACGCCGTATTCATCCTCTGTTGTCCTCTATACCGCTCGCACGTTCCCGTCATGCATGACAACATAAAGGTGCATAGTGCTTCCTCGAAGCATTTGGGTGTCCTGAGTCACGCTCGCGCTTCGACTCGATTGCAGGGGGGACAAAGGGCAGAAGAACGGCGGAGGTAATAAGGGTGCCTGCAACGGCCGATTGTAATCTTGTCGCTGGTTTGGGTACTTGCGCCGAGAAATGGCGGACCGCTGTCTGGGTGAGGGTGGTGGTGACGGTGCCTGCGAGACTCATGGCTGCGGACTTAAGAGATGGTGGGTTAATACAGTGGGGAACGAGAATCGGAGTAACTGGCGTCCAAGAGCCAAGTTGAGGGCCGAGACGGCGAGGAATCAACCGCAGGATCTTCCTATTGCGGAAACTGAGGGTTTGTCTGTTGCAAATCTGTTGTACAAGGCAGAAGAAGTTCAAACAAACCGAAGAGAGGGGAAGTGGAAATGTTTTAAAGGGGGTGGGATGTGGGATCACAAGGCATCGCTGCAGTAGTAGTAAGTAGTGACTAGTGTTGGGACATTTCAACTTACAGGCAGCGTCGAATCAGGGCTGCGAATGACTCCTACTAAGAAGGTGATTGCGTGCTAAGCAATCGAAATGATGTTGCTGGGATCGGGATTCCAGGTACGGAGAATAAAGCGGCTGTTAGGCATCAGGTTGCGAAGGATAAGTGGCAAGCAGAGGGCCAGTGGCCTGAGAGCTCCTCAGTTTGACTGCTACCAGCCAGTGGATTTGTCTGTTGTTTGTAATATGGGTGCGGACCCTCAGCTGAGCATGCGGAATTTCGTGGGGAGACTGGCACTGTTTAGGCCGATTAATCGGTCAGTCGCCTGAAAAGGCATACCGAAAATCCGAAATATACACGAACACCAAGTGGCAGGAGGCCGCAGTAGGAGGTGATCCAATAGTGTACGAGTCTTTGAAATCACCTTTCTTTCAGGGGTCACGCTGACAGAGGTGGCGTTAAAATGCGCTGCCAGAAGAAACAAGGCTGTCTCAGCCTTGTCCGAAATCACCCTGCTCGGATCACGGAGAAAGTACGGAAGTCCTCGGAGTACGAGTTGCCCAAGCCTGTGGCTGCATTACTCACGTGACTGTGGCTATATTGTGGCTGACATTTCGTCTGTACAGCCTTGCCCACCTTGAATCGCAACTGATGTTCAGGCTGGTCGGTGACCACGCCAATCCCACGGAAACCGAAATTACAACCCCTCCAAAGATAATGACCAAATCCTGCATCTCAGTTTCCGTACAACCCAGATGGCAGCGCATCACGTTTCTCTTGCCAAAGCCTCTTTTGGCGCTTCTCTCCTGCGACCCGATGTGACAAAGGTCTCGCGAGACGACCTCCCCACCTTTCACAATGCCTTTGAAGCTACCCTCCACCAATGCTCGAGTCGCAACATACAGGTCTGGACACTTCAAGAATGACACAATACCTCAAGGCCGGATTGACTGAAGAATTATAGACATGTAAACAATGGCTGTTGGAAAACGTGGTTGTCTCAACGACAAGGACCACCGCTCTGGGGAAATATCTGGTTGCCATAGCCCGACACCTTACAAACCAGCCAGATGAATCATCCAGCACAAGAGTCTCACGACAGCGACTCCATATCCTCTATCTTGTGAACGATCTCCTTCACCATGCCAAATATCACGAAGCCTACGTCGCCCTTTGCAACAACCTAACACAGTCTCTGCAACCATTTCTGGCAGATCTGATCCGACTCAGCGCATCAGACGCAAAGGCACGCGTGCGGAGGCGGCTATCCGATTTGATCCAACTATGGAAAGAGGAGGAGTACTTTGGCCCACAAGTGATTGATGAGCTGCACGATGCACTCGCTGGGGTCGCCTCAAAAGCCCAGCCAACAGTGGAACATGAGGCAGAGCGCAAGAGTGCAGACAAAGAACTCCCATACCTCATCCCTGCGACGCATGGCGACCCTTCGTTGCCCTTCTACGACCTCCCCGCCGGCAATCTGATGCGTCACATAATCCCAAACAGCTCGCAGCCAATGCGTCCTGACGAGGTCCGAGCCCTCCAATTTTCCGCGGGCCCCGCAGATGAGAGTTTGGTGAATGCGCTGAAAGACTTTTTGAACGATGTGAAGGGCGCTGAGTCTACCCTCCCAAGGCTTGAACAATCTGGCCTTTCCCCGGAGATTGACGAGATGGGTCAGATCTCGTACCACGATGAAGCAGGTGACGTGGTCGGTGATACATATTACGGATGGTCCCGGTCGTTTTGTGATAAGATGAAGAAGCGTGGTAGGGGGGGTTCGGAAGACTCCTCGCCACGTTCAAGGTCAAGAAGCTCGGGTCGCAGTCGAAGTGCAACACCTCAGAAGCGCAGACGTCGTAGTGTTTCAACCAACGGCCGCTCCAGATCATCAAGATCGTATAGCCGCTCACCTTCCACACGCCGGGCTGAGAACCCGAGGAGACAATGGAGTCGAAGTCGAAGCCGGTCGCGCTCCAGAAGCCGCCCCTACTCTCCCAGCAGTTATCATTCGCGACCTGGGCAACCTCCAAGATTTGACCCACCACCAGCACACATTAATGCAAACGCTGCGCCGATTCCTCCACCTCCGCCTATGGTAATGCCATTCCCGCCTATGCCCCTACCTCCTACAGGACTACCGGTACCTCCTCCCAGACCACCGCAATGGGTAGGTCCTTGGCCTCCTCCCCCACCTCCTCCATTCCCTCAGGCAAACATAGGATACCAGCATGCTCCCTTTCCCCCTCACCCTCCACCGCCGCCACCGCCGCAAACCTTTGTCCCTCCACCCGACAGCTGGATGCGGTATCCAGGGGCACCACCAGGACCAAATAACCAATATGGAGACAGGCGCTGATGCCATTACCCCACTGCTTTGTTTTTTGGTGCTTGTTGTTGATCAAACATCACGTCACCCTACCTCTACTTCTATGTAGAGAAGCTGCAGAGTTGTCTACTTGTACGGCAGGCCAGACAAACCGCTGATGACCCCAGCGAACTGATTGTTGGCCAAATCATGTTCAACCAAGTGTCCACAAGGACCCCACATTCACATGATAATCGACCTTGTTCATACAAAGATAATGTTGCTTACAACTCGCATTCGATGCCGCAAACATGTAAATGGTGAACCACAAGCCTCTGGCATCATTCAGGTTCCCATAGGCCTTCGCTGTGGGTGTTCAGGACCCTTGAACCCAAGTGTTCGCTGATGAACCTTTACGTGTTGGAGATATGCCATTGGATGAAGAAAAGGACATATACCTGTGGATGATGGGCGATTGGGTTCGACTTGTTTGGCTGCGCAGAACAAGTCATACGAGTTCTTCCCATGATGGGTGGTGGTAAAGCTTATCTCACGACGGAGAATGAGGCGCGCACTTGTCAAATACTCGGTACCACTCGCAGGACTCGCAATGACAGGGCAGCGGTTGATGGCCAGGGTCCATTACCTGAACCTGAATTAGGAAGCGGGTGGCGCGCTTGGCAGACGCAAGGCTGGGGCTCCCGCTTTGGTGCTGGACCGACGTCATTACTTGGGATTCGAAGCCTGTCATTGGCCGCCAACCGGCAACAACACGGCAGCTGTCCCCCAACTGCTTCTTCCCGCGTCGCCGTCGGACGCCCCAGGCCACACACCACCCTATCGCCAGCAACCCATCCAGTACGAGCGTCACGAACCTCTAGCACACATGAGCAAACAATGGAAATGACCATGACTACTCACTCTTCCTTTCTCCTGTATCTCTTTCCTTGTTACGCACGTCCGATCTAGCCTGCGCGCTTTGCTGGGCCTCTCCCTTGGTCAGGACCGCACAAGTATGCGAAGTGGTCCCAGCATCTCCCCCAACGACGATCACTCTTGAATAGAATTCAGACATGCTTATCTCGAATGCCTAACCACGAGAATCCCTCGGCCCAAAATCGTTGGGTCTAGAGCATGGGCTTCCCCATCCACAATTTTTCCGCATGTCTATCGGATGCGAGATGTGATCATATTGCATTGCCTCTCCCATCAGACCCTGGACGATTCTGGGTTTGACCGATCGGCAGGGTCGTTCTCCACCTGCAAAGGACGTTCTTCATGGCTATTTGCTCGATGCTCAGCTCTGGTCCTTGGAATCTTCATTTTTGCTGGGGATCGAGGGCCACCGTTGCCGTTTGATCATCGCCCCGTCAAATTGTAGTTCGCCAGATGGCCACTCAGCTCCATCCAACTGACGGCAACTTGCATAACCTCTCCAGAGGTCTCACCACACTCATTGGGCGCGACATACGCCATTTCTCCGCCTCTAGACCTGGACTTTGCCCTCCATTCCGTCTTTCGGTTCGCCCTCGTTCTCGCCAATGGTGGTTCAGCCTGGTGTGCTGAGCATTCTCGTCGAGATATATAACCAGATGGTCCGGATTCCCCCTTACCATATTCCATATCAGCTCACTATCATCTACAAGACATTTTTTTACGTCGAGACCACCTCTAGCACCATCATCTCGTGTTGACCATTGCAGTCTTCCAACATCAGAAAAACCTTTAATACTCCAACTCCAAATCAAATTCCACCATGCCTTCGGCCGTCGAATACCTCACCAGCCCCCAACAGAACTTCAACTATGAATCTGATCCTATTGCGGCCATGACTTCGTACGCTCGAATGATGCACATGCACACCAAGCAACAAATGGATGCTGCAACCCGATCAGCACGACGACGAAGTCCACCCGTTGGTGTTGATGCCCACGCCAACGCAGGTCTTTCCAAGCAGAGTACACACAGCAGTACCTCGTCACGATCGTCTTTCTAACCGTACCACGAAGCGCCATTCCTTTCTCTGAGCGTTCAAGCTCGCCAACTATATCATAGAGAAGCAGTTGGCATCTACACCAAACGGGTGACGGAGCTGTCAGTGAGCATGACGGAATGAGACTGCGAAACTCCTCGCTGGAACATACAATCATTCACCGTGGTTGACTCCAATTTGTGGTAGAGGACCGTGCAACAGAAGGTTCTCACGACTGCTTCTACCTATCACTCTCTCACGCACACCCGCTGCATATCATAGCTGCAGTCCTGCGTGGTGGTGAGATTGTTCTCATCCAATGTATACTATTACACACTGCGGGGTGTTATATTCCTGCTCTTGTCAAAAAGCACCAGCAGCATCTGGCGGCGCAAGGGCTTTTGATATTTTAGGGGTGGAAATACAGATCTTTACGAACTTGAAGCTGAATGAAATGATTTACCAAACTACTTCTGTTTATTTCCCTGCAAGCCTTTGATTATCTCTGCTCAATTACTTGTAATACAACTAACTTTGGTGCTTTTTAATCCATAGTGTTCTTTTCTCTATGAGACTGTTAGGTTGTGCATGACCTGCAATTGTCTTGTGTGCTTAGATTCCCCCATGCACCCTGGTGGTAACAGCCACCCCATGACTATACGGAGGAGATATATTAAGCCTGCGCGATAGTATCTATGAGCATACAGGCACAACTTGCCCAGTAATCCGTGGACAGTTTACTTGAATGTCATTATACCCGCTGATTAGGTATCTACTTTTGTTGTGCTAAAATCGTTCTACAGTACCGCTGTGCATGCAAGTCTGTACATGTGCGTATACACCAGCACCCCAGCCACGACCAAACGACACCAAGCAGTGGGCGCTGACAGACAGATATACTAACTGACTCACTCCCCGTACTTCCCCTCTTTCCTGGCTGACTGGCTGTGGACATACCCTCGCAGTGAGACCCTGCGTGACGTTCGTCTTGTCAGGCAACAGCCTCGTCGATCACTTGCATCATATGGAACCAACCCGGCCCCGTGCTGGGATTTTCTGGGGGAACGTCATACGACTTACAGCTCACAACTCATGCAACGAGTATCGAGTAACTCTCCTAGTCCTGGTCTGCTAATTAATGATAGGATAGGATAGGTCTTGCTTGCTTGTATACCTATCACTACCCATCACTACTACTGCCTCCCTATGGTGTCCATGTACATCCATGCCGACGGAGTGTTGGGGTATGGTCATCTCAGATTGAGACGGAGCAAGCAAGCAATCAAGCAAGCACGTAGTATATCCTCCTAGTAGTGCCTCTTCTTCGCACCGGTGCCACCGCAACAGTGACAGTGACAGTGACATGCCTCCCATATAGTCAGTGAGTGTTGAAGAGGGGGATTGTCGAAAGATCGACATTCAAAGACGTAAAACTCGCCATTGCCCCCATTTTTACTTTTTTCCCGCCACTCCCTCTGGTGGTCAATCAGAATGTGGGATTATTGGGTGGGAAAGTGGGAAACTCTTGCCCACGAGGTGATGGTTTGGTCTGATCTGGCTTTTTTCGTCTTTCTGGCTTGTCTGTTGGGGGGGTTTTGGCGTTGCCCATGCCGCAAACCATGGGATTTGCGATTATCAGCCATGGGAGAAATTGTGGGATTGTGATTGTTTCATCTTCATCTCCATCTCTTTCCATCGGCATCGAAATCGACATTGACATTGCGGTTGCCATAGCTATCCATCCATCCATTCATCCATCCACACAGACAGGGCCTTCTAGAGCCCCTTTTTTTCTCTGTTTCAGTACATCACATCACATCACCAAAAAAGCAAAAATGTCGCCTCTTCCTCTCCTCGACCCTCGATCCCTCCCTTCCCACGCCCTTATGTATGGATAGCCAGGATTTCTCCCATCCAACCAATGGCCGATGGGTGATAACATAACTCCTTGTTGGTAGGGGGTCGGGTTTGGAAGCTGAGAGATCTCCTGATTAAGATCAGGTGATTGACAGATCGGGAGGGAGGCAAGAGAAGGAGAAAGATTCAGAAAAGCACCCTGTGTGAGTGCGTCTCTGTGTGTGAACTGACCCCGACAAGCATCTGACGGCGATGATGTATGCGTGGTTCCTTGTTCTTCGATCCCTCCTGGGCGTCGTCCAGTCTAGGATGGGGTGGTCGGTCACCCACCTTTGCCTCCCCCTCCCATCTCCTCCGTCATTGCTCAGCCGCACGGTCCCTTCGATCTGCGACGTCCAGAGAGCTCAGGCTGATTCTTTTCTTGATGCTCCTTTCTCCTCTCTCGTGACAGGTCAGTACCTCTCACCCCTTTCGTCGTTCGGTCCCTCGATTCCTCCTACCTAGCACCCCAGGCAGATACCTACCAAGAGCCTCCTCTCCTACCGATTTACAGACATTTCGAGACCCTGCCGCATCACTCTTGAGGGATAGTCTCTCTATACGAGCGTGTAGCTCACTATCTCCCTGTGATGGCTCGCTGCCTCTAGATCGAGATCGAGATCGAGCGCGAGGGCGATGCGAGGGGTATACGATTCATTGTCGTTAGCTTTCCTTCCCAGTTTCACACCCAGTCAAAAGGAGACAGACAACCACACACACATAACCTTCTCCGCAGTAGAAATTCAGAGGGTCTGGACTGGTCATCGACATCATCCTCGCCACCCTGTCCCGCTCCGTCGACGCCATCGGGAGGGATGAGGGTTGTAAGGGTTATAAGGACTCCCACCGATGTCATCATCTTTGCCAGTGGTAGTTCCAATATTCTCCGACGCGTGGCGACACCTCTGACGATCACTCCCGTTGAGCAGTCCGTGGCAGTCATGGCAGTCAAGGGGCCGGGACGCCTGTGCCCGCGTTAAATGGGAAGGTGTCTGTGTCTCGCAGCGGGTGATCATCCTCTTCGAATCCACGATTGTCGTCAGACCTCATCCTCGCCTCCACACAGTCAGATACTGCACATGGTAACCCCTATCTAACCCACCTTTTACCAACGTCCATCGCCCTCCCACCCCTTCTCAGGGAACAGGCCTCGCACAGCCGCATCATATCAACATCTCAGCTGTGCCGACGCTGATATCGAGGGCTTGAAACCCATCTCCATCCCTTATTACATACTGGTAGGATTGATCTGTCCCTGCTCTTGACAGGATGTGTCTCGAATCTTGTAACTCGTCACTGCTCAGTCTCCAGTCCCTGAGTTCCAGCTGTGAACCTGGGACAGCTGAAATGACTGGTCCCACCAAAAATGCCTCAGACAACCAGGACATCCAGTGTGGATGGGATGCTTTTGATACAAAATTAGGTGCCCACCCCACCATTTCCCTGCCGAGACACCATTGACGCTGTACCTACCTGGCTGCCTGCCTTCTTGCTTTGAAGGTAATATTGCGGGAAGTGATGACGGCTGGCTTGGACCTCCTTGAGAGAACACTCACGGGTGATAATGCATCCACCATCCGCAATCCACAAGGGAATCCACAAACATCCACATCCACATGTACACTCACGCACTCTTGCTCTGTCTAAAGAACTTACCAATACCCAGCCACCGTCAACAGACTTTCTGGAATCCTTTTCCATCCAGCGCAGAAAATGGAAATGCCTCCACATTTCAATTCCGGTCGAGTCGATCTTTCTTCCCACGCCACACCAGCTCAGGCCGTAACAGGTCCCCATATCTCCATCGATTTACCAACGAGGAGTATTCCCACTTTCCTCGCTCTGTTGCCATCCAACTAGCATTGTCGACCATGCATCTCACATTCCCTGAGCTGCGCGACGACAATGTGATGAAGAGAAAAGCCATCATCGGAGATAGCACCCATTCCTTGATCGATTCAGCCATTAATACATCCGTGGGTAGTAAGGAAAGGTATCCGCTCATGAGACTGATGCTGTGACACGGCCACAGGGGGTGATACTATGATGCCATCCAGGGCCACTATCGATGTCGATGAATCAACCCGAACCCCTTTCACGGGACTGACTGCGAATGCATAGATGTTGACAAATTACAGATCTTCCCAAAACCTGCCTACCCCCTCGCGGACACATATTGGACTTCTCCAACTCAGAACCACACTTATTATTAATTACCTATGGTCAAAGATATCCGGATTGGGAATGATCAGCTCCACTTCACCCACGAATCAGCGACAAATACCCTGCGCCAGGGTATGGTTGATACAGCGCTATACAAGCAGTCATAATGAATGGGAAAAATACCAGATGACGTGTGCGATGAAGGTTTCCGAATACTGTACGGGCGTGCAATACTAATTGAATATGAGCAGGGGCTTCGTGCAAAAAGATAGACTTTGAATTAATAAACCTCCTTCTGCGATTACAGCATAGTTACAATACGACGAGGCCGTGGCATGTCTGCTAGGTAAATGTTGTTGTTTCAACACATATTACCGGCCGTAGTTCTCCTCAAAATGGCCCTCTGCCGATATTCAGCAAAGCGTGTGCATATAGAAAAAGCTCGATTTTAGTCCATATACTTTTTCAAAAAGGCCAGCGCCTTTTCGGGGTGGCGGCCGAACCAGTTGTAGCCGTCTTCGAAGCGTTTTGTCGTGCCTTCAATCCAGTACAGTTCCTTGTCGCGGCTGGCCAGAGCGTCGAAAGTGCTCTGGGCGTCGGACGGGTTCTCGATAATGGCGTCGTCGTGGACCTGCCACATGAGAACGGGGAGTTTAACATTAGGCGCCCACAGCTTGCCGGACATGTCAGCGGCGGGGAAGCCTCCCAGCTTGAGGAGCTCCAAATCGATGAGTTCCTGGTACTGGCTGATACCTTGGGCGCCGGACAGCTTAGAAAACACGGCCGACATGTTGGGAACGAGGGGGCTACACATGCAGCGAATATCGTCGAAAAGCTCGGGCCGCTTGGTAATGGCCGCATATTGAGAGATACCACCCAGGCACTGACTGAACAAGGCCTTTTTCATGCGGCCGAGGCGAGGGTGCATGTCGACGAAGCGCTTCACGCCGACGCAGTCGCGCCACTCCCACTGACCGATACCGGACACTCCGCCGTTGGCCGCGCCGCTCTGACCGTGATTGCGAAAGTCGTACGTCAAGACATTGTAGCCTGCGTCGGTCAGGTGTTTGTACTGAACGACAAAGTCAATCTCGACGGGCTCGATAAACTCGCTCCACGGCGGGCCCATGTGACCTGGATAGCCGGCCCGGCACATGGGCAACGCGTGGTTGAAGATGACCAGCCGGTCACTCTCGCCGCCACGAGCAGGGATGTACCACGCCTCGAGGGGTGTCCCATCATCCGACTGAATGGAAAGGTCATGCCACCCCTCCATGCCGTACTCGTCCGGGTTCTTAAAGATGAAGCTGCGTGGCATCTTGACCATGCCTGCCAGCGCCTTGACCTTGGCGTGATCTTCGGCCGAAATGGCCTTTTCCTGCGCCTGCGCCGTTTGCATTCGTTCTTTCGAAATCCCTGTCATACTTTTGCTGGTGCGGTGAATTTGGTGTTTACTGAAGGTTGGCTCGCTTGTTGGGAGGTGTACAAGTTGAAATAGAAAAGCTATCGACGAGGGAACAGAGGTATCGTTATTATGAATTAAAACTCGCACTTCGGGCTAGCACTTCGGACTAGCACTTCGGACTAGCACGTCGGACTAGCACGTCGGGTTAGCATGTCGGGTTAGCACGTCGGATTAGCACGTTCAGATCAGACTAATGATTGCCTACTTCAGCTGGTGATTAGTTAGGTCCTGATGAGATACTCCCAGTAGTTCTTCCCGGAACACCCCAGACGATAAGACTCTCAGATCGCTTGACGTGACGATTGTCCACGACGTCATAGCACAGTGACAAATCCAGCCGTCGAGTAGCAGAATTATGACTGGTGCTTGATAGTAAGGTAGAAATTTGTCGGCCTGAGATTTGCGGGTAAGTCTATACTATACGACTCCGTAATATCCGTTTGTCAGCCGAAAGGGTGAAATAGCCTCCCACTGAAATCTGTTTAACAAGTTGTCGTGAGCGCGCTGAGCTTGATGAGTTAGCAGGATCTCGATTCGCGGAGAGCTTTCCAGACATCGCGAATGTCAACAATCTCGAAGTGAGGAAGCTAGCGTGCTGTTCACTTTCACAGAAGGACTTTCGTCGTTGCCTGGACCATAACCAGTAATGTCACCGTCATTTTTTGATCCCTTAGGCCTTCAGACTAGGCCGAGGCAGACGACAGTGCTGGGACGATGTTAATCAACTGAACTTTGGATTCGGTGTCATTGACCGTTTCTAGCTAGCAAACCAATATCATCAAATCTTCCGTGATTCGAGCTAATCATGATCATTTAGGTGCTTGATTCACTAAATTGAATCTGATTCCAAACAGTATTGTCCTCCACGGAGGCTGCCTCAACTGTTGGGCCTACCTTGAGAGCTTCCGTCGGATCTGTATTCGTCACGTCAGGTACCTCATTTATCATGCTCAGCCAGTACGTCTCGTCAAAGTCAGTGGTTGATGGCTCAAGATGTGGAGATGGTTGAGTGGCAGTCGTAGGTATGGTTCTTGCATCCACACTCGTGTCAAATGTCCAGCCACTACCGGTAGATAAAGATGTTGGAGCACCCCATACTGGCTCTTGCTGATTATGTTCTTGCGATTGTGGAAGCGGCAGATGTGATTGCTGTTCTGACAAGCTATCGCCCATCACATCAACTCCAGAATCTTGTGCGAAATTTCCGGGCTCGGTGGCTACGGCCTTTTGAAGATACCATGTAGCAGTACTGCGCTCCAGGCGCATCTGTAGAACATTGTAACACTGGCTGAGAATGGTGAGACCAGAGCGTGCGATTGGGCTGTATGAATGCATTGCACTCAATCTGTTCATAGCTTGTTGCAGGATAGAATCAATCTTCGCCATAACTGCGCTGTCCATTTGTGGTAAATACCTAGCCGTTACAACCGAAAGCAGTAGTGATGCGTCGATGGTGTAGAAGGACAGGCCAAAGAATTTGTACTGGTGTGGTCTGGCCATTATAAATGATCGATGTTGTGAGTCTAATATCACGATCGAAGCTTGTAATGCGGCGCGCCGACTCTCGGCCCGGTACTTTATGTGAGGACGGTGCAATGCCACTAGCATTAGATTGGCCTTTGTGAGAATATCCTCTCTCTGATAACGTAAGTATGGGTATTGATCATCCCATGACAAGTCAGGGTTCTCGTATCGAAGTGTAAGTGGCAGCCTTCCCATGATGAGGTGCACCTGGTCATGAAGCTGCTGAACCACAGAGTAATCTATTGACCAAGGTCTATCGGCTTTCTGCCCTTTCGCAGCATGCCACACGTTCGAGAGTCGGTACAGGAATAGGTTGCTGGAGACAGTGTTGGGCCTGTCCCGTCCCCCAATAACTTCTGGAGAGCCTGGGACACAGCTGGAGGGGTCTGGCGGGATGTTGCACTCAATTGGTTCCTCCACATCGCAATCATCAGGATGGATAGCCCTTGGGCGACCAAGAATCATTGCAGTCAAACTGTCTTCATTAGAACGCCAGCAACAGCATGTTAACGACGAAGAAGCTCACGCGTCCCATGTACACAAGTTCATCCATAGCCGCCGTTTATACTCTTCATACCACATGCGGCTAAGGTTTGCCCCAGGACTGCTCGAAGCATGTTTGTAGGGATCCTCGTGACGATGAAGCTCGAGCTCTTGTGCGGATCTGGAAGTTATCAGCTTTATCAGTTTGCGGACATCGGGGTCAATCTTGAGCAGCTCGACCGGATTGCACTCCCAATGCTATGCCAAGCTTCTACTCCTTTTCCAATATTCTTCAACCAAGATGCCCTCAGAAAATCCGCTTGAACCACTGTGAGAGCCGCATGTGGTCTCTGCGTCATCAGCTCCACACCCGTATCGCTGTATTTATGGCACACAGCCATATCAGCCTGCGATAAGTATTCCCAGACAGGTGATCTGAGTGGTAGAAACTGTATCGCAAGGCCTAAAACCTGACACAATAGTGCGGGAAAGTAGTAAAGTTCTCTGCCGAGTTCGTCATGGCTGAGGTGCAACAAGGTCTTGACATTGGTTCCGTACCAACAGTTAAGTAAGGAGTCAAAGTATTGTTTTTCGATGATGAAGTACTGCCAGTTGACATCGTTGAAGAAAACCTCCACTAGCTTGTGAATGGCCATCTTGGACGGAAGTCGGACATTAGTCGCACATGGCCTGGATACTTCAGTCTGGGCAACTGGATCATGGTCAGCAGTCGAAACAGCGTGCACCCCATGTTCTTTCCGGAAAAGCTGTTGTCATCAGTCAATAACAAACTGAAAGGTTTTTTTGCTTGGATAGGTACTACACCTGCCTGTTTAAATTCCGCCAAGGCATTACTTCCAGTAGTAGACGAGTAGCCCATATCGATCGCGTGTGACTCTACTGCTGCGTTGAAATCAGGCGATCCATCTGGTGGTGCTGGTGCTTGTACGTCGCGGGTGTCGACTGCCACTCCTGTGATGCTTGATCTATGAGAAGGTCTAAATTACCGTATGGTTAGCCCTTCATCCATGTCTCAGGCGAAGAACGAGCAATCATCTCCGCGCCCACCACCCACTTTCTTAGGTTGCTGTAATGGCATTTGTCAGTAACGTTCCGACCGACGCAATTACCGCAGGGCTGTTTCCGATCGCACTATAGCAGTGTCAGGTGCTAGAAATTGTTGGCATATTTCAAGTTTGACAAACCTTCTGTTTTCGCCGGCAGCACTCGATGCACGCATTAATAGCCTTTTTCTCCTTCGAAAATTGAGGCGAGTCAGAGGTTTTTAATGATGCCATGTCTTGACTCGTTCAGGCAGTGGCTGGTTCAATGAGAAGGTAGGATCAATGAGAACCTCTAGATCTCTCGAAGATCGATGATGGAGCCAGCAAAGCAGGTCTCACTACGGAAAGACACCCTGCTGAATTTCGAGCTTGACGAGCACGTGAACGGATTGCCATTCGATTGGTGGCTTGGCAAGCATAAGCTCAAGACCACTTTTCGCCGTGATGTTTAACAGGATGACTTCTGAGATCTGTATCCCTTATTGTTATATTGTCCTGCTCTTTGATGTTTCTTTTCCCTTTTTTCAGTCATTAGTATCTGGCCAAATTGCACGAGAGAATTGTGAGTTTGCAAGATTTGTTTCGCCGGTTCGTCTAGGTCTCTCTGGTCAATGCGATCAAATTCGGCCGTCGCCCGCAGGCACAACAAGAGATTCTATTTTCTTCCAGGATTGGGAAACTTGCAACAAGTCAGGTCGTGGACGAAGCAGATGTCGACCGTGGCGTCAGCACGGTCGTGGAGCACTTTCACTCCGTCCGGAAGGAAACAGTGGGGGCCTGACTTGGTGATGATGATCGCGGACTCTCCGCCTCGCGTTGCCGGGTGGCGGCGGGTTTGTAGATTTGTCCATTTTGTCTTTGAACCTGCGCATAATGGTGAGTACGTTCGGCGAGGCAAAGGGTTTGCCACCCTAATGAAGATCTAACACGAACTGGAGGTTTTTGTCCAGATGATCCGATGAGGCTGAAGGTTGGGAGAAGCTCGAAGCTTCGGGTCTATGTGGCGCTAAGCCCAGGCCTGACATTGGCTGAGCCCTTCTGAATCTAAGCCACATGGTCAAAGACATATTGATCCTGAACGGTACTGTACTGAAAGCTGCTGTCCTTCTGTTGGCGAAGTATGTACTATCTTATATTGCCAACCATGTGATGCTAGGATTTCCAGATAAGATTATAGTCACTACCGCTTTAGTGACTTCCATGTACTACATATTCTTCTCACCTGCTGCGGAACTGACTTGTAAGTGTTGAAGGTGCATCAAATTCAGATTCAACCCACTCTATCAACGAGAACCTTCGACATGTTCTTGATGTAAATTTTCAGGCCAACGCCAGGATGGAATGACTGCCCCTTCCAGTTTTGTGGCCAGTTGTGCCGATGCGAGTCTTTCATAGTAGTGAGCAGTAGGGTCAAGTCCTGTACACATCAACAGATCTATAGTGAACCCTTTCTGTCATTTCTGGGTTTTCGATTGCACGTCGAAACTGTGTTCGGAAACCTACACCGCATACATCATGGTTTTTTTTTTTTTTTTTTTTAACGAATGCTTGCATAGCGCTGTATCGACCATACTAGAATGTAAGGTATTTATCGCTGATTCGTAGGTGAGGTAGAGGCGAGCATTCCAAATCTGGACATATATGACCCGTAGGTAAGCGTAGTTCGAGTTGGAGAAGTTCAATATGTGTCCACGAGGGGGTAGGCAAGTTTCGGGAAGATCTATACAAGATTCGAGACACATACTGTCAAGAGCAGGGACAGATACGTGTAGATCCATTCGCGAGCATGGATGAATGCACGAAGGCATCAATGCCCACCGCTATGACCTTGCCACCGTGATGAACACGATACTTGGTGGTCTCGATACTTCTTCGCCATGAAAAACATGGCATAGATCGAATCGATGGGGAGTCTAGTATCTCGTCCGCGCTCTTATGATAATTTTGCACATAACCTTGACCCATAAGTCATTTTAAAGTGAGCACGGCGGTACCTCTTACCGAGTAACTAGTCCTTATTTAGCATTGGCGCCTTTCGCCGCTTTATCCTCGCTCGATCTCGCTCCATTTCACCTGGCTTTTGTATCCCCAACCTTTCACACCTCTCACCATGGCCGGAAACTGCCAGAGTGATGGATTAACTAGTTCCTCCTACTCTATCTGACCGGGTTGAGCACAAAAGGTTGGAATAGGTCAAGTCCTCTCCTTACCTCGCCGGGCCTTGCCTCACCTCTATCCAAGTGTATACATAAGTCACCCAGCTACCTAGCTCGCTCGGAACAGCCACTCCTTATCCAGCTCTTCCACCTCCTCTAGCGCCACCACCACCTCATCGACAGTCGTATACCCACCGATTCCTTCCAGTCGTGATGGATGTCGAACGCGCATTTCCCCCCAACAACAATCTCGAACATGACGGCGCCAAACTCCCCAACGTCGCTCGCGATCGAATACCCTTCGTCGTCGCCCCCCAACCAGATCCCAGTCGAGCGACATCAGGGTCGAGTTCCCAAATTCGGCGAGACGGATGTTCAGGTTGTCGTCGACTAACAGGTTGTCCAGGCGGATGCCCGCGACAATGATGACCCGTTGGTCGTGGATGTGAGCCAGCGCGCGTGCTGTCTGGGTCAGCCAGCGAAGTTGCTGCGTCCGGCGACGGCCTCGGCGGGCTCTTGTCGATATAGTGCCGCAGATCGCCGTTCTTTCATCAAGTCCATCTGAATTGATGGATCGGGCGACGAGAGGTCATAACAGCGTATAGGATCCCCGGGTGATGGCCTAGTCTTTTGTAAATGGCCTTTTCCCCCTCGATCTCACGGATGAGATCAGGTCGCTGGTCGTAGCTCCCCTCTTACGGGTGTCAACCTCCCTCTTCCAACAAGAACCCCGTCCCGCTCAACGACCCGAGATATGCGAAGTATCTTGACGGCATACTGGCCCCGTTCAATGACGATGCCGGTCCCGCCGATCCCGATGTTTTTTTTCAGCCATTCTCGTGTTGTCGAGGTTGTGTCGGAACTCGATTCTGATAGGGTACGCGTGCATGAGTGATGATGGGATGAGTTGCAGATGAATCCGACGATGGCATCTTCGATGGTAGGTTATCGGTTAATCTCGTGCGTCGTCTGTAGGGGTTGGAAGGAGAGGTCGTTCGTCGTATACCCCGTGACCCCCTGACAAGAGAAGGGATGCGAAAGGGGGGAAATGGATGAGTAGAGTCGTAGGAAAGGGTGTGTCGAAAATGTATGGTCAAGCCGAAAAAGGAGGACGTATGAGTCACCTGGATACGCCAAAGATCGCTATAGAGACAGAATGCGCTGGACGAGTTGAGGAGCAGTTTGTGGGTTCTGCGGGCGGTGTGTACAAGGTAGGGGAGCACAACGGATCAAGCTTCAACATCCAACACCCACCATGATGCCAGCATTGCGTTCAGCATATCTACAGAGGCGAGTATCTCACTCAATCGCTTTCATGTATCTTATTCCTACGAAGGAGCTTTCAAGAGACATCTAACTGTCCTCTCTCTCTCCCCAAGAACCCACCGAGGTGGTAGACAGGGCACAAGGGCACAACACGGAAGATGAGGTATCGTGCAAAAAAGCACTGCTCGGCTTTGCTGGTATCGTTAGGCTGTAACCGTCAAAGTAACCGTTCAAAGTCGTTCAAAGTCTTCCAGACGGTGCTCATCGCTTGAAAGCTGATCATAAAGCAGGGCACAGTCAAGCAATGCACACCCTCAGACAACAGTAGCTCCATATTTATCATCACCATCACGCCCATGTCTCGGCAACAAAGTCTCACGAGCGGAAAAGCATCTCCTCATCCTCCCCGCCATATCTAGCCTTCCTCTCCCTTTGTCGAACAGATCGAACCTCGCCGTGGGCGAAGGAAAAATCATGTCGTCGAACCCGAGGTGATTCCCGCTTCACACCGCCTCTAGCCCATTCCTCATGCTCACTTGTAGAATCGGGTGCCGTAGCTTTCTCGGATGGTCGCTTTCGCTTCGTCAGATGGTGGACCTCTCTGTCCAGCCCAACTTTCCTTCCCCCGATGACTTCAGGGTCAGGACTCGCACAATGACTTTTCCCCATCCTAGCAGTGTTTCCCGGTCCACTCTTGTTGCTCATACCAATTTCCTCATCTGAATCGCCTCTCACAATCCGGTGAGCAGACGAAGAAGCAGAGAAGTGCGCTGCGTGTTCCTCAATCCTAGGGAGAAAACGCGCGGCGCTAGTCGGCCCAGAAAGGTAATCTGTCAGGTCGCTTGATCGACTCGAAGATCGGGACTTTCGTCTCAAGTCCGAATCATCCGCACGACTTAACCTTCGTCTTTTATCCGAGCGGTGTTCAGCAGTTGGATGCGAGGCGTAAGTGGCCTGGTCCGTGGGTGCCGTGGGGGAGCGCAAACTCCGGTCGACGTTTCGTGTGGTATGGGCATCTCTCGGAGGGGCTGCACGAAATCGCGTGTCCCGAGAAGGAGGTTCAACGTCCGAGTACCGTTGGGGATTTTGCTCTAGCATCTGGTCCTTTGATGTTGCTCGCCTGTCCTCCTCGTCAGAATCTTCCGGAGTCTCTGAAATCACCATGGCACC